TACAAATACAGGCCATTTAGCATTATGGACATTGTCACCCATGTATACAACCATGCGGGGGCCATACAAATTACTGAGTACCATGTTGAGCTGCTGTAATGAAATTTCAGCAAAATGGACAAGGCTGCAGCATCATTTTTCCCTTTGATTTTTGGGGTGTCTTTGAATTCAGCCCTCTGTAGTTGATACTTTTCATTTTCAAACAATGTGGCATCTTTTCATTCCTAACCCATGACTCGGTCCATATCAGTATAGCTATCCAGTGGGATTTTTATTTTTATCCCACTGAGATCTGATGTGTTTTCAAAGTGTTCCTTTAATTTTTTTTTTAGCAGACATAGTTTCTCAGTCCATCCACTGTTTGGCACTAAAACAATTTGCTCTGTATATTTATCTTACTGGCTGACTACTGGAAGCCTGCCGAGGGGCAGCACCCAGTCCTTGTGAGAATTGCATCATTCTGTTCTCCTGGAAGCAAACTGTAAGCCATTAAAATAAAATTACTATATATATTTTTGATTGGTTGTAACTTTCTGTAAAAACACATTTGAACCCAAACCCGATCTGCAATATAAAAGCAGAGTAACAAAGACCAGCAGGTCCTCTCTGTTCAGTACGGACACACATACACAAACACTGGAGAAGGGAACCTTTTTGTGATGACCACAAGCAGAGAAAGTGTAGTCCTTACACCACCATCTCTCCCCCTTCCTTCCTTCTCTTGTTTCCACTGTCCTCCTTTGTGGCTGCTGGGCATGGTAAGGAAGGTTAGCTGAAAATATAATCCGTCACTGATTACCTGCTGCAAATCCTCCGTAATCAGAGCCTCAGAGGAGACGGCTGGTTCGAGGGATTATTCACAGTTTATCCAGCGACAGTAATGCGTTTTGGTAATCACCTGCATCATTTCAAAACTCCTCATAACCTCATAAACACATCAGTTCATCTGTGAAATCTATTACATTTGCACCTCTTATCTTTTCTAGGTTAACCACTTCATTTCATTTCCTTTTTCTGCCTATTATTTTCCCACATGATCCTGCATTTCTCTAGCACTATTCACGGGTCTCAGATTGTTATTTTCCCTTCATGTTTCCTCCTCATTTGCACCCTGCAAATAAGCAGACAAGCTGTATTGTGCATATTAGTTACACTTGCTTTGCCTATAATGGAAAGGCATCCCTCAGTTACCTTATTTTGAAAAACAGATTTTTATTAAGATGCTTTTGATTTGAAACAGTACTTTTGCATTCCAACAGCCAAAGAGAGGCAGGTGATTATGCTTTTTAATTTAAAGTGTATACATCTCATCAACAATACCCACAGTACAACATACAACATGAACTGATGTGCTGGAAAATTAAGTAAATGGAAATCCACGTTTGCCTCTTCCAAACCTGCTTAGTCATTTTTATTTCATGTCTGCAGATGACTCAAACAAATCTTGAGGTGTCCCTCCCTTTACTGTGTGCAAAACAACATTTGGTTTGGTGAATACTAATAGGAACTTGTTTGTTGTAAGTGTAGAGCCAATTAAACGACTAAGAAGTGTCAAAATCAGTTTATGCGTAGAGGCAAACATTTGGACCCATGAGAGGAGGCGATCACTGCAGCATGTCACTCCCCGTCTTCCTCCTCATCCCACAGGATAATTCTGTGTTAGCACCAACTCCATCACTTCTTTCTCACGCTTCGATTTGTCCACTGGTTTCCACTCTGTTCAAATTCTGGTCACATTCACCCTTCTTCTCCTTCTTCCGGCCTTTCTTTTTGTCTTCCTCCTCTCACACTTTGTAGCGCCCCTCTCCCAGTCTCTTTTTTGTCTGTCTGGATCTTCCCCTTTCTTGTTCCTCCTCTCCTCCTGTATCTCTCCCTCAAGACTGTTGTGTTTACTCTTTGTCTCGTTCTCCTCCAGTGGAGGATGGAGACATGTCTCACCGTTGTGGTTACCGGCAGCTTGCCGTGGGAATAACAGCTGCCACTCCGTTGTTGAGAAACTGACAGAGAAGAACGAGAAAAAGGGAGAGAATCCAGCAAAGTAAAATCATGCAAAACATAACTAGTTTCAAGCATCTGTGTCAAAGTTTTAGAGTTTTTCTCTTTAATTAGGTCAGTCTTGAGAGTGAATGAAAAGCACATGAGATTAGCACCTGGACTATTATGCGGCTAGAGTGAAAGCTCTCTTACCTCACTATTCCCAAAGTGCTGCAAAGCAAATCAGGGAACCACAGCAGAGCTGTTTATTGGCTAGCGGAGCAACACAACGCTTGTTCTGGTCAGGTCTCAGGTGTGTGTGTGTCTGTTTGCATGCGTGAGTGTGGAAACTTCCAGCAAACATCCCCTCTAGCTTTGCTATAAATATGATGGTGTTTCTCGGGTTGCCGGGTTAGATAGCAGCTGAAAAGCTGTGCTGAATCCTGACGAGATAATTAAGTGTCAGGCAGTTGTGTCAGTTCACTGAAATGAATGTGAAAACATAATGCACCAAGAAGTAGCAGCTTGCAGCTTGAACTCATCCTACCTTTTTCACAAGGGTAACACAATTGAACTGTGTTTTCCTACCTTATACACACACACACATA